TAGACTACACTAAGATACATAATCATGTCCATCGGATTTTGATGAACGGTGTTGCCATGGTTACTAAAAATAGAAATTTCTGTAAAATTCCTTTAAAACGCTACTCCTCCTACAGTTTTGGTTTGATTTCAATATAACTGGCACACAAGTAGACTTCATTAAGAGACATAATTTAATGCATCGGTTTTTGATTTCGATGGGCGGTATTGGCATGATTACTAATAATAGAAATTTCCGTAAAATTCCTTTAAAACGCTACTCCTCCTATAGCTGCAATAATGTAGCCCTCTCCGATTTTTTGATCTGATATTTTCAGGAGAGGGCTACAATTCCACTGCATCTCCGTAATGGTGCAAATATATTTTTTAGATACGGGCGACTGCAGGAAAAATAAATTGTTTTTGCCTTTAACTTACTTCCAACAATTTTTATTCACTATCAACATCATAGCCCTTTATACGCGAAAAGCAAGTGAAATAAATCTGCGTGTTTACCAGTCATTCTCTTCAGCAGCCATGACAGTTCTCGCGTGACGTACTGAGACTTGCGCTTGAAATTTAGAATCACTTGATAAAGTAAATGTCGGTGTTGATAAATGTTTGTATTGTATGATAACACTAAACATTGATAAATAAAAGTATTCCATGGGATATTTTTTCATAAACAGTGATATTTATGCTTAAAATAAGGGAAATCCTAAACGATCCGCTCCCCTAGATCCCGAATTCTCATTGGTTGTCCCAAAATAAAATCGATTAAGGTCAGTAAACATGGCGGATAAATTTAAGTTGTGATGTTGACATACACGAAAAATAACAGATATACGGATTGTTCTGTATATTTTTGGATCTATTAATGTCTTGCATAACTACATTTTATGAGTTCAGGTAAGATATGTCAATAAAATACCCAATTACTGATAATTTGAGCCGAAATCTGTGCGGTAGTGAATCACTCCCGCACTTGCACCATTACGGAGATCCTAAGGAGTTGTAGCCCTCTCCCCCCCCCCCCCCCCAAAAAAAAGTCGGAGAGGGCTACATTATTGCAGCTACTCCTCCTACATTTTTGGTTTGATTTCAATATAATTTGGCATACAAGTAGACTACACTAAGATACATAATTTTGTGCATCGTTTTCATTTCGATAAACGGTGTTGCAATGGTTACTAAAAATTAAAAAAAATAATGAACGGTGTTGCCATGGTTACTAAAAGTATAAATTCTGTGAAATTTCTTTAAAACGTTACTCCTGCTTCAGTTTTGGTCTGATTTCAATATAATTTGGCATACCAGTAGAATACACTTAGATACATAGTTTAGTACTTCGGTTTTTGATTTCGATGAACGGTGTTGCCATGGTTACTAAAAATAAAGATTACTATGAAATTCTTTGAAAATCTACTCCTGCTACAGTTTTGGTCTGGTTTTTATACAATTTGGCATACAAGTTGACTACACTACGATACACAATTTGGTGCAAAGGTATTTGATTTCGATGAACGGTGTTGCCATAGTCATTAAAAATATAAATATTTGTGAAATTTCTTTAAAGCGCAATTCCTCATAGTTTTAGTCTGATTTTAATATAACTTGGCACACAAGTAGACTACACTAAGATACATATCAATTTGCTGAATTGGTTTTTGATGAATGGTTTTGCCATGGTTATTAGAAATAGAAATTTCTTTAAAATTCCTTTAAATTATTATTATTCCTGCTACAGTTTTTGTCTGATTTCATTTTAATTTGGCACACAAGCAGACTTCATTAAGAAATATTAAAGTGTGTATCGGTTTTTGATTTCAGTGAATGGTGTTGCCATGGTTACTTAAAATAGAAATTTATGTGAAATACTTTTAAAACGTTACTCCTTTTACAGTTTTTGTTTGATTTCAATATAACTTGGCACAAAAGTAGACTACATTAAGATACATAATTCTATTTATTGCTGCATGTTGCCAAATTTCAAATCCAAGTGCTACTTTTCCTTTGCTATACACACAGACCAGTAGAACTACATTCTAATCGAGACTTGTAAATTTCTTGTTCTCTCTCTCTCTCTCTCTCTCTACATAAATCTCGATGTTATGTAACTAATAGCGTGGAGCTTAACATTGGAGAGGACTTCTGTGGGCAATGTCTGCTGTCTAATCCTTTTAATTGTAATTCATAACAAAATATTGTGTAAATTAAATTAACCTTTTACATTAAGACTTTAGAGGAAGCAATGCAACTGCGCCACGTGGGCCGTAACAAGTTCAATTTGGACAAAAAAATAAATAAAGTGACAGCCACTACTTATTGAAGTGGAAACTTATTTGACACATCTTATTTTGCTCTCTAGACAGAACCACTTTGAACGACTACATAAAAATTGTCTTTTTAAGCATAGTAAGTATCTATCTATAATGTATGAATTTGCATTTCTTGTTCCCGGAAAGAATTCATAATTTAGATTGAAATTACTGCACTGGCTTGAATAAGGAATTTTCATTGGTAAAAAGGAGTATTTTTCAAAAGGAGGAAATTTCGGGGAGACATTAGTTCGGACTTCCATAAGATAAATAGGTGATAGAGAGAAGGAACACACTTACATAGAAAAAATATTTCAAGGTACAGTTCTGTCTTTTCTTTTTTTTTTTTTAAACACGAATAATCTTGCCGTGTTAGTTAAAAGAACTAGGTACGGTCTCCTAAATAATATGCACGGCTTTGGGGGGGGGGGGGGATTGATTTGCAGTTCCAATCATTTCTCCTTTATAAAATCAAAGACCAAGAAATAGTTCATTTAAATATAATGTTAAAATTAACTTATCTTTGCGCATGCGTACTTTACAATAAGTTGAAGTAAGGGCGATAACCCCATTTTGGTCTTTTTCAATGTTTTGTATAAATATATGAGTAAAATTCAACATCTCTTCCCCCGTCGCCCGGGACGATATTCGGTGTATTAAAAGGTTATTTTGTCAAAGTTTCATCCCGGGCGACAGTGGCAGAGGGGTTTTAATGTTTATGGAAACGTTTTTTACCAACAGTCACCGTGACCTGATTTCTAATAACCAATACACATTTTTAGTTCATTGAAGTGGAGACGAGGATAATTCGGGTTGTCGTTTGATTTAAAATATCTTTCTTTGTTTGCAACCTCATTTTAAGAATGCTGTGATTTATTACAATTAAAAAATCCGGATAAATTCGATCCATTCTTACGGAGCGGGTGCCATTTTGGATGTTATGGTCATTGTAAGCAGAGCGGTGTAACCGTGTTACATGTATGTTGTTGTATGACTTCATCATGTTCATGGGGAATCAAGTTACATACCAGGTGAGCCACTTCTGAATCATAAAAATATTAAATCAATCTGATTCAATAAAACATACGCAAGAATATTTCCTGAGACATTCACCCATTTAAACATGTATGAAAGAGTCTGCAGTCACATGCATGCTTGCAGACGACGGCATGTTAACGTTTATCATGTTTATAGACCTGACTGCATATTTATGCCTGATATATTTGTTTTTATGTGTGATTAACTAAATCCTTCCAAAAATGCAAGTAACGGATACAATGATTTCATCTCAATAGTGTTTTAAATGCATGCAAGATAGTTTTAAAACTTAGTGAAGATGGAACTGAAAGTTCCCATCCTCTCAGTCTCGAACATAATTAATTCGCTTAGCAATGCCAGTGGTACACCTGCAATTGTTAGAGTGTTAAACATTTTGTGTATTGAAAATATAAGACAACAATATATGATTCTAGTCTACCGTGCTGTTATAAATAATTATTATGACAATAATTTTTAATTTTTGCGAGGTACAGAGTAGCTCAAAATTTGTTGTCGTTTTGTATACAACACAAAACATTTGTTAACAACACAAAACATTTGTTAAGGACCCTCTCTACACCAGTGCAAAATGTTTTTGGACATCGAGAAAATTATATTGAAGAAAGATGTAAATATTGACCTTATCTATTTAATATGGTACGTGGCATTTACCCGGGGGAAAAAATTTCAAACACAACACAGTATCAGTGAACAGAAATCACTGTTGTTTACTTCCATGAAGAAAATACATGTAAATAACGTGTTCAATTAATTCATCTTGGCCTTTTAAAATGTTAAGAATACTTGTATTGATTGCAAATTGAGCAGTATACTGTAAATTTCTATTTATTGGAATTTAGATCTAAGGGCAGATCACTCCAACTGCAGAAAAATACCATAGAATCAGAACTCTTTAGTGTGCAGTGTAGAGAGGGTTCTTAAATCGTTCTCTAAGAAATATAAATTATAAATCATTTACATAAATGTTGCGGAATTTTTTTTCTCTACAGAATGTAATAAATAATAGGACACTATTTTTTTTCCAAAAATTTGGGGGGAAAAGTTTGAAAAAAATGTTTTGAAAAAAAATATTAGGGTAAAGTGATCGTGAGTCAGACTCCTAAAAGAGACAATGATCTGCATGAATTCCAATGGAAATATAGTATACCCCGTGACATTGAGACCCGAGGCAATTGCGGATCCAGGGGTGGGGATCGGCCCAGGTCATCAAACACTCAGAAAATACTCATGTAGTCATCAAAAGAAAAAAAATAAACTTAGAAATCTAAAAAAAAAAATCTAAACCCAGACACATAGTTTTTTTGTTAAGTTGTGTCTTACTGGTAGTGGTGGAGGGGGGGGTGGGTGGGGTCAACACACACTCAAAAATTCAACTCAGTTAGACTACCAACAGAACAAAAATGGAAATAAAAACACACATATTCTGACTTGAAAAAAACAAGCCACATTAAACTGAAACAGGGAGGGGGTCTCATATTTATTGATCTTTTTACCCATTAATAAGGGGTTCTCATTTCCGGGAGCTAATACTCTAATTAAAAAAACTGTTTATTTAATGATATGATTCTAATATTTTCAATATATGATGAAGATGAGAATTGTCTTTGATTTATTGTCTTAAACTTTTTTAAGGATGGATGAAAGACGATATAGGTGTGCTCTGTGTAACAAGAAGGTCCCTCCTGAAGAACGACGTCCAGCTAGTTTGTTTATTTCTGTTTTACAGAAACATTTTTCTGTAAATGTGGAAGACACAGAAGTGTTGTGCAATAAATGTCGACATAAGTGTAGGAAAGTGAAGGAGTCTACAACAAGGGAACCGGAATTGTCCAGGCCAGCTCCCCATGAGGAAAAAGAGGACCCAACATTTGCATCACCAAAACAGAAGCATTCAAAGCGCTCATTTCCTAGTCCTCCATCTGTACCCTTGCCTATTCCATCATCATCTCAAAGCCATGGTTATTGCTTTGTTTGTTAAAAAAAAACAAACCCGGGACCCAAACTTGTAACTGTTTCCCATCATGTTCGTATGTTTGTATTCATCAAACAAGAAATCATCATTCCATCTGGTGCAAGGTGCTGTATTAGACACTTGGAAAATGGGAAAATGAGCGATGGAGCTATGCAGCAGATCAGGACCAGTGAGATATCAACATTGAACAAAACATCCATCACCAGTCTCATAAAGGTAATGTTTATTATTTTTAACTTGGTCAATCATTATAGTAAACACATTTATAGAAACACACTTATGGTGAATGGATGCTTACAGGAAAGTGAATTTTATTCCCCGTGGCTTTACAAATTATTTTGTGAACTTGACGGATATAACGAATTATATCATGTTTATAATGAAGCAAATTTTTCCATCCATGTCACTTCATTATAAGCTTGTTTTACTGTATTAGTAATTCTTTAAAGATGACAAAAAGCATGCATATATGATGATGATTTAAATTTTTTTAGGAATTGCGTGATAAAGCATTTCAGCAATCGAGACTTGACTTCGATGATGAAGGCAGCCTAGACGATAATGATTATCAAGTGCTGACAGGATTTTCTCGTCTCAACAATAACCAGTATTAACTCTTCTAGAAATCGGAGCAAGAGGACGTGTATAGCCATTCTACTGATGAAACTTAGATCAGCGCTCTCAAACAAAATGCTTGCTGTTTTATTTGGAATGACTAAATTTCAAGTAAGAGTTTCACATGATGTTATGAAAACTGCATGTATATACTTTTTATTCCACATTTGAGACAGGATATGTTGTATTTATGTTTTACTTTACAAAGTGTAACATTTTGCAGGTTCTACGAGCTATTGTGTCTGCCAGAACAGCGCTTATGAGAGACTTTGTTCCATATAATCTTGGATTTCGGCACATAACACGGGACGAAGTCATTCAATACCACACCCGTGATCTGGCAAGAAATCTTTTGACAGATGATATAACATCAAACCCTGCAATCTTAGTATTGGATGGAACATACGTCTATATACAGAGAAGTTCCAATTTTGCTTTTGCCCGGCGATCATACAGTTTGTATAAACACAGACCCCTTGTGAAACCTATGATGGTGGTGACTACAAGTGGATATATTGTATCGGTTCTTGGGCCTTATCTTGCTGATGCAAAGAATAATGATGCTAACATATTGAAGCATATGATTTACAACAATGCAGAAGAACTCAGGAACTGGCTACAAGAAGACGATGTCTTTGTTGTTGATCGTGGTTTAAAGGATGCCCAGGATTTATTGTAAGACATTGGAATCAGGATGGAGATGCCTGCATTTATGAAAAAAGGAACTAAGCAGCTGTCCACGTTTGATTCTAACTTGTCCAGAGTTATGACAAAGGTACTAGTAGTATTTTTTAAATTATTTAAGTATACTAATATATATGTAGGTTAGTTTGTAAAATTAATGTAATGCATTACTGTTATATTTATATTTATATTTTTATCAGTAAACTGATCATAAAAAATAAAGTAAAATATCATCAAAATCCTATATCGAGAATGTGTGTGTGTTGGGGGGGGGGGGGGGTCATAATGATTAACATTACGTTGTATATGAAATACATGTTATATATTGAGACAAATTTTTTTTTATAAAATGTTGTTTTATTTGGCATGTGTTTGTTTTTCACTTTTCAGGTTCGATGGATTGTTGAAGCAACAAATGGGCGACTGAAACAGTGGCAGTATTTAGCTAAAACGTTACCCAACTCGCAAATTCCATTTATTGGTGACTATGTGAGAATCGTAGCAGCTCTTTGCAATAAGTATAGGCCACCACTTAGTGTTTCATCAGAGGAAGACCAACAACTTGCCTCGTAAATGCTCCACCTTTCACAGAGAGTAAATACTCTACAGGTAAATATATGTTTTGTGGTTTTATAATGAAATGGCAAGTTCATTTTTGTCTTTAGGTCAATGACAATATTTTTTTTTCTTTCATCATAATTGGTTTCCTTGCATTAGAGATTTTTTTCTGAACTGAACACAGAAATGTGTACAGTTGTATCATGATAAAATGCAGGCAAGCTGAATGTTTTAATTGCTTCCATTAAGTAAAAAAAAACTTGTACAATAAAACTGAACTTTTATGCATTTTACAGGAACGTGTGGAAATTGAGGGCCTTGACAGAAGAGGATTGCGTTGGACAAAAGTTGATGCAGAGAATGTTGCCAAAGATTTCCCATGTTATGAAGAAACTGAATTGCGCCAACTTACTCTCGGGATATATCAGCTTCGCATGGCCCATTCCTATGCTAAAGAACACATTGATGAAGAGGGGGGTTTCGAAATCTTCATAAGTGATTAAATTCCTGGGTTGGTGAGTGCTAAGATTCAAAGCAGACATATAGCTGCCAAACAGTACAGATGCTGGGTCAGTTTCAATGATGGAATGGTGGATGGATGGTACTGTAAATGTAAAGCTGGTACCAGAGTTGTTGGAATGTGCGGTCATGTAACCAGTGTAATATGGTACCTCCCTTTTGGGCGATATCAGGAGTCACTGAAGGGGGTTCGAAACTGGACTCACTACATCACTGGAGGACGCCTCGGACATCCAGGACACTGTAGATGGACCTGATAGTGATGAAGATGACAATGGTGTGGAAGAGTGAGAGAGAGAGGGAGGAAGCATGAGAAATCGAAAGAGAACAGTGGTGTGAAACAGTAGTACGTGTGTCTGTGTGCGAGGAGAGGGTGGTATGAGTAAAACAGAAAACATTTCTGGAACTTTTATATATATCTACGTTCTCCCTCTCGGATAGTAACATATTTTTTTCTTCTTTCTGTTGTTTCTCTGTTGATAAAAACTTCTTCATCAAGTTAAATTGTTATTTTTGTAGTATCTCATCTATGAGCAAATTACTGAGCAGATAAAATTGAAAATGATTTTGTAAATGAAGTTTCTTTTGAAAGAGGAATGTAGAATTATTTTTGTTATATACAAAATGAACTGTTAAATTCTGTTAGCTGAAAAAAATATCTTTTCTGAAATAAATATTCATTCTCTGAAATGTAAATTAAAATATTACTTTTACTGTAAAAGAGTGTTTATGTGTTTTATTCAGTCAAAAAGCAATATTCCTATCAAAGTATATAGTACATGTATGCTATACAAATGTCTGCGTACATTCAAAATTAACAATTATGAGTTATGATAAATGTAATTCATTAGGATGCAATCTATCTTGAGTTCACTGCAATATTATGACGCCATGTCTTACTTTAGTATATCATGGAAAGAGAAAAGGTGTCTTTTATAAGCATTAGCAACAATAAAAAACTTTAATTTCTGAAATCAATTTTTTTTCGTTGCTTAGCAACCTGAAACATACTGTACGTGTACATATATTGGCGTATTCAAAATTTAGTGCAATCAAGGGTATAGAGTTGTTGGCGTAATCATGAATTAGCAATTAATATTGTATTAGTAAATGATTTCTTAGCGGTATTCATGAATTAGCGCATCGTTGTGCGCGCCAAAGCCGCTAAAATATGAAGCCCGCTTTTTTAAGTACACATACAGTATATTATACAGATCTGGAAAAAGGCATTGTCAGTATAGTTCAGTATGATGACCTTCAGTAAATATACTAATAATTGTAATACTCTTTTTAACATCCTTTGCTGTGAAACTTATCAAAAAATTGAAAATAAAAAAGTAAAAATTATGCACTTAATTGACCCTTGACCTCTATTTTGGAATTCCGCTTGTTGAGGTTAACCAAGGGGGGTTCTTAAAAATCATGTCATATTTATAATCAACTTTAATAAAAATTCGACCAAATACATGTATAATACATACTTTTTGGCAAATAATTGGATAAGAAGTTAATTTAGTTGTGTGTTTTTGCTCAAAAAAAGGTAATGTCAAGATAGCAGTACTGCATTTTTGAAGATATATATTTCAGGCGCTTTAAAAGATATCAAATTAAAATAATTATTTTCATAAATTAGATATATTCAAATAGTTTATGTTGTATTTTGGTTGATTTTCTGGACCGGGCAGATTTTCGCCCAAACCGTACCTTGTTCTTTATAGAATGTGACATATTAAACCAGTAGAGCTACAGTTGCATCAGAGACTACTGGTTTTAACATCCAGTTAGTTTTGAATTACTATAGGACATTTGCGAAATAGCGCACAGCGGACTTCAGACTTTAAAAGCAGACTTTCATGGGGACCGGTATAAAAAATTGAAAAAGATCAAGTTATAACAAATCATCTAAAAATGTGAACTATTAATAAATTTTAATCGAAGTTTAGTGTTGAAATTCTTAATTTGATTGGTATGATTAAAAATTTTGCAGAAAATTTATTTATATGTAGATGTATATAAATTCCAACTTTTTGAAATGTTTCGAAATAACTATAATTGTGCATTTAAGTCAAGTCTAAATTAAATTCTCAGAATAACAACAATATTTGGCGAATCTGAAAAGCATCAATTAAGAGGTACAAACAAGTCCTGCTACAATCTCAGCAATGATTGAAACACATTCTGTACGTTTTCTAATTTACAAATTGAACGCACAACTTCCGATGATGACAAAACTTTATCAAAGTTTATGCATTTCCCGCATGGTATGTTGATAATTTAAAAAAAAAGTCAATAGTAAAAATCTGGTTTTTAATCTAAAGGTGAAAAGTACAAATCATCCAGATCTTGGCCAGTTTATTTTATTCATTTATTTATTTATTTGCCATCGAATATATTCTTGCGCATCATTTAGCCGGGAAAACACAGTCTATATGATGTATTCTCTCTTAATTATCAGTTATTATTTCAACATGTATGGCATGGTAGATTTGATGTCCCTAATAAAATATAACCGTTGAGGTTCAATGAGGAATATCTGTTACAAACTAGGACGTTCCATCAATTGCGGGTACTGCACGTTTTGCGCCCTAGTTGCATCATGCCTCTCCATTTTTCTTTACTTTGCTATATTTATAAGATTATGAACTGCTTGGAATGCATTTGTCAAAACTTTCTGTAGAAGCACTGATAAGAAAAATGTTTTATTTCATCTAAACACGATTGATAATTTCGAAAACAAATTTAATGAAAATAAATAGAAGCTTTTTCTCGGAGAGAAAAGCCTTGTTACGATTTTGGCTCATTTTTCTCAATACTTAATGAAAAAGAATGTTGTAAATACCAAAATCTTCTCAAGATATTTAATAAAATCCGTGCATGTAATGGTTTCAGCACCGTAGCATCGATTGTGAAAGTGTGCGTCTGTGTGTGTATGTGTGTGTGGGGGGGGGGGGGTTAACTTAAGTCTTTTACAACAAACAGATAATTGTCTAAACCCAAAAATCCCATCTCGGGGGGAGGGGGGGGGGTGTTAGGTTCCAACGGTATAAAAAAATTTCAATACATCTGCACAGGAGGGTTTCATTTTATATTAACAAAAAATCACTATATTTCTAGATAATACGAGATCAGGAAACTGCATCCATGTTTCCTACAAAGTCAAATGTATATCTCTATTCAGTTCAAATTCTATATACATTAGCATGGCCGAAGGAATCGGGGGGGGGGGGGCGTGCCTCCCCCAATTATTTTGCCGATATATAGAATACTATAGAAAGCATAGCTGCTATACAGTGCAGGGAACTAATTTTGTTACAGCATCAATGCTGATTTGAATGCTTCCTTTGCTTGCTGATTTGAATGCTTCCTTTGCTTGCTGATTTAATGCTAGTTATCCTTATCCTGATCCTGATCTGATCCTTACCCTGATGCTACATTTGCTGGTTCAAAGCTAAGTCAATGCTAGTAATGCTACCGGAAGTAGGATTATCCTTCTAATGCTGACGGAAGTGGATAATTTAATTTCAGCATTGCTATTTTAAGCCATAAAAAATAATTTTTTTTATAATTTTTATTTGTATTTTGTATTAAATAACTTTCTTTTATCTGTTTACATTTTTTACCGAAAGAAATTTAGCGATTTTTAACGAATTTCGCTTTGTCAAATTCCCATCGTAAAATTGAAAACAAAAATGGCGACACAGAGAAAGTTGGAAGTAAATCTTGCGAAGTTATCGTAACAGAGTTGTTTGACAAGGGGTAGTTGCCAACTCCAATCCAGATAATTCTCATGAGGTATTGATTGCACCAAACGATGCGATGGTTTATCCCATTTCTGAAGCGATTTCGGAAGAAGAGCCTCAATGTGTTCAACGTGTGAGCAAGGAAACGCGGTTAAACGTGATGGACAATGAACATGAAGTTTATGACAAACCCAGATGAAAATTTATCATATATCGTGTGAATATTTCAGCAAAAATATGATACTTTAAATTGT